GTTCCCAAGCTTCGAGCCCGAAGGTCTCACACATGCACTGAAATAATGCTATTCTATTCGAGATTTATTTGTTTTTTGATATATTTAGTTCCTTGGCCTCTATCTTTCATTTTACGGCGATTGCTATCGAACGTTGCTATGTGATTTAGAGGACATTTACCTACGGCACGATAACGAATCGTGTGTACAAAACCTTGATATCAACAGCATGGTATGTAGCAGGGATCATGGCGGCACTCTCGAAAATGCAAACATCGATAACGCTTAAAAGAGCATATACAGTCTTTTTTTCTGATGGAGTGTTTTAATGAAACAACAAAATTACTCTAACTTAAATCGCGACAAGGCTATCAAGTACTCGTTGCTTTTAAACGCATCTGGCCACTAAGATCACAAGATTAGTTCTTGCACTAAAGGAGGTTCCAAATTTGATTTCAGCTAAATCTCTTTTCAGCTGAATGGTCGAGGTCACGATTGTGCCTTGGGTTGGTATAGAACACTATTGTGTCGGCACAATAATTTATATAAGACGCTGTAATTTAGATTTTGCACCAGATAACTCGCCCTACATTACAAGTCAATCACCCAGTGAACAAAAGCAAATGTCTTTGAAGGAAAACCGGAAGAGGGAATGTTCTAGACACAATAACTTTTGTCAGAATGTTAAATCTGTAAATAAACCAGGGCAAGCCGTAGGGCTAGTTCGAATTCCGTCTGGTGTTGTCAGTCCAATGTTATGCCAAGTCAACCGTTCGGAAATCACGCTTTTATTTTAGCGTTGGCAACTGCATCTGGAAGAGGCAAGCAGAACTATAAATAAAACTCGTGGAAGTTCTGACAACGATCCACTGAAAAAAAAAGATAGAAAGTGAAGCGGTAAACCAAAACACATCCGTAAGCTAATGTTGACAAAAGGGGATAAAGATTTTTCGTTGCTTTAAAGTTAAAAGGACCTTGTAGAATGCATTTCATTTGTTTTATGAATAGTTAACTTATTCTGAAGTACTTTCTACATGATGAACAGCGACAATAATTTCCAATGGTCCGATTGACACCA